AAAGAAAGAAAGAAAGAAAAAAAAACAGATCAGCATTTACAGTACGTTTCACAAAAATATTTCAATTTATAATATATATATATATCATAAATGTATTTATAAGTATACAAATATGCTAAATAAAATAAGTGACACAAGCGTATATCACAATTTACACATTTTATACATATAACTATGTATGTTATTTGTATTTATACACGCACCAGCATTATAATAATTGATTTATATTGATATATATTTCACATTGATAAAATCTTCCTTTGTTCATTCTTGACTGTAAACGGACCTACGTACGATGAATCGACGAACAATACACTTGCGAGGAATAATTTTAAATAGTTCAATTATAGAAGCTGAAATTTCTGAAATCGCCCGAAAGTGTGCTCCTCGAGTCCATTTAAAAAGTCCAGTGCATCTCTATGGTGTTTACATCATTGCTACAAAATTTTGCTGCTAACACTGCGATGTGCACTAACGTGCGCTAACATTGCGCACACTTTGCGGAAGAAATGAAAAGAGTATTCCGCATAATAAATTTGCGAAGTGATTTGTTATCATGACAGATAAATTGACGTATATATATCATTTAGAATAATTTGAAACAAAAAGGGAAAAGTAAGAAATATTTAAAAAAAAAAAAAGCCTAATTTTATCTTTTCTTTCGCGCACATAGTTCGGCTAATGCAGGCAAATTTTTGAGCAAACCATAGTCGTAGAGATCTCTTCAATACATACCGGACACCACAGTGTCTGTGCACAAGCTACGGAATTGTATTCTATTAGTAATTATCCACTGAAATGAACCATACCTTTAATAGGTGTTCTTTTCGTTGGCAGTCCAGGATAATAGGGCACTTCCTTTTCCGTTCCTTCTCCATTCCGCTCATGCCACGGCATATCAACTATCTTGCGTTCCTGTTGCAGGGAATTCGATGTTAATAGTGACAATGCTTTCAACAGTACTGTACGAATATTCGGTGGTACTTTTTAATGAGACATTGTTATGATACATCAATCAGACTGTGTATCAAGTACCTGTAGGTTGATCGTTACTGTAATATATCATCCTTATACAAATATAGTTCAAATTAGAAATACATAGTTTTAACCGAATCCATTTGTTCTCTCACAATGTAAATCAATTATCAGTTAGATTTTTCTGCATCCTGTTTCTAATGATTATAAAAGTTATTTCGTGAAAATACGATATCTTCGATTAGAAATTTCTACATTCAATTAAAATTGAAAGTACCTATACCAGAGCTGAATGAGTTTTACTAGAGACTCTATCATTAGAATAGTGGGCAACTTACTAAGCAAGCTTCTTTGTGCTCATTGCTATGCAGATGATTCAAATATTCCTTTGCCGTTTTAGGAAATATATCGCAGACTTTACACCAATGCATTTCTGGATCATAATGTACGAAATTGTACATAGGTTTAGAGTCCTCGGGAGACCTTCGTTCTTTCGTGTCCCTTTCAATTTTGGATTCCTTGTCGGAGTCGGATGCCGATGATCTGTCGGGCGACTCTGATTTTCCTTTCGGAAAGTCTTCCTTGGGACTTCTTGAACGTTTGTTAATTTCTAACTTAAACTTGCTTTTTAGATCGTCAACAGTAGCTTTGTCCCCTATAATTCCGGTAAGCATATCGATTACGTTATGTATCGATTTCATTTTATTTTGTATCTCAATCTGCAAATCGAGAATCAACGTACAACGAAACGGTGTTAAAATATTTTACTTAAATATTTTACTTAATTATGATGATTATATACCTGCAACTTTTGATTTTCTTTTATAATACGATTATTCTCCCGTCCACCTTCTTTACCGATCTCATCGCATTGTTGTCGCAGAATCTCCAATTCGCGTTGTAACGTAGTAGATTTCTTAACATACTCTTCACGCTGTTTAGCCAAAGTTGCTTTTTGCTGCTTTACCTCAGCTGCGATTGCTGCTGGGCACCAGAACATAGAAATGTGTTAAAAGGATATTATAACTAATAAATATTTATGAGAATAAAGTAGGAAAATTCACCTTCTTTCTTGGCATCTTCTGGTCTTGCCAAGGACGATACTAATCCAGAGGAACCACTATCAACTGGTCTTGACGATTCTTGCTGAGATGTTAATGTGGGGGGAGGTGGTGGTTGTTGATTGTTATAAGCTACCTGACTCCCCTGCCAATTTGGTGGTGGATAATCCTAACAAAATAAATACACGTTTGATGTCAAATACTCAAACAATACTTCTATCGAACCTTACCTTCATTTGTCCATACTCAAATCAGAACTTTGGATAATACACGGAAGATTCTTGAAGATGAATCATCTGGTCAATAATACTGGTTTCCAATGCCGATGCCAATAAAATAAATAACGCGAACGTTATACTTACGAGGGGATTCACAATACTTCGCGATGCAAAAGAACATAGTGTTCATCCCCCAAAAAAATGAGCGGTACTACCAAATATTATTAAAAAATATTTTGGTAGCTCGTATGCAACAACTTCGTAATTATTTTTTACAAACTCGTATAACGAGAGCAAACCTATGAATAGGTAATGCTCCAAATGCGATAAAGTTTAATTGTATTGCCATAAATGCAATACAATCTCAATCATAACAATATAAGCTGATCATTCTTATTATACAACTTACTCCTCCTTTCAACTAATGTGCTCTTTCAAAAAACTTACACTGCGATAACTAGTCGGTTGCTGATAACTGTAGTCGTAGCTTTGCCCGTAGTTATAATTGTAGTTATTGTACCCTTGGTTATAAGCTGGCAAAGGCGGTGGTGGTTGACTGGTATTCGGAGGTGGTGGTGCCTATCAAATAAATCATATATATCATTCGTTTCATCCTTTTGTATTTTTTCTTTCTTTCTTTTTGGTTCGCGTTAGACTTACCTGATACTGATTATGAACTGCTGGAACATAACTGCCAGGATTAGTTGGATTCGGAGTAGAAGCTTGAGACTGAGACGCAGCTTGCTGTTTCCAGTCTTGCTGAGAACGGCTGGAGTCTTTTCTCCTTCTATCCCTGGAACTGGATCTTGATCTTCTGTCTCTGGAACGTGACCTTCTGTATCTGCTTCTTCTTGGTGATGGAGATCTATCATATTTTCTTGATCTTCTCCTGTGAGAAGAATCCTCCGAGTCTGCACTAGGACTCCTCGGCCCTTTACGCCTTGATTCTTGTTCCATTTCTTTATAACCTCAATCTGTAAAAATACATTCGCCATATATATAATCGATATATCAGGTTATGTTAAAAGACCTCTTTATTCGCAGATATATGACGAAATACACGTTGATAACGTAATTGTACATCGTACAATTTCAACGACGATAACAATGTTCACACGTTAAATACCAATGGCTTTCAATCCATAACAGAACTTGGCTACAAACAGTAAGCGTTAGTAGATGAGAGAAATAATTTTAAATGTCGCATTGCAGCCATTGTTATTTTGTCGATAAGATAACGACGATATACTTCGATGTGTTACATGTTATTAGGAATATTTACCTTAACTCAATGTCTTATTTGCAACTTTAGTATTCTATTTTGTATAAGTATTAGGCGCAAAGTAACGAAAGTAACGTGAGAATCCCTTTGAGAATCATTCATGCAACAAGACGTAACGTAGACCCAAAAACGAATGGAAGAGGCTGCTTGTACGCAATGTACATAGAAGCAAAAAATCTTAGAAGGTAAAGCTCAAAAGTGCTTGCGTGTATTCATCCAATGAGCCAACGTTACAAAAAAAATCCACCACACTTTAGTGATTGCGTCTAATTTGATATGTGAAGATATTCAATCTAAAATACAAGTTGAGTATAAATAAAACATTGAACTTTTCAACCTTACAACAATCTGAAGAGAACGTGCTGTGAAATATTTTAGTTTAAATATGCACTTGGTAATATCACGCATTATCGTTACAAATTTCTTTGACATGCGTACTCGCTTGTAATTGATCAGAAAATTGATAAGAACGTGCATTCTATAATTTTATTTACCGATTCATAGCTCAATTGAATCTAGTGTTTTAGCTTTAAATCTAAAATAACTGCACTCGACTGCTTGAAACACCAAGTCATTAAAGTACTAGTACAATTTTCAAAATATGTTTCACAATTAACGTACTCTCGTTTAACAAAGATAAAAATGATGAAAAAGCGTATCGACGGTCGTCGATTGGGGCAAAATATTGGCAACCAAGTAATTTTACTTGGGACTATTGGAAAAGTAAGAATTATTTCACATTGACGCGAACTTACGTTTGCTCTCCATCTGCAGACTCGGCATTCGCCCTATGAAAATTAGTCTCGTTAATTCATTAAGCTTCCCTTCGACTTCTAGAAAAGTTCAAATGGTAAAAATTTAGAATTGAGAACAACCGATGGTGTGCAAGTGAACGTAACCTTACCGGAACCAATTGACAGCGAGGCTGAAGGTTACATAGAGGTACATGGCACGTTACAATCCACGTCTACGATGAATTGCAGCAATTACACGGTATTTCCACTCAGTATGACGGAGGATTTTGGTAAATTTCAATTTAAGCTTGTACACTCATGTATCGTGAGACGCGAGAAAACAAGGAAAGTCTCAATTACAGATGCCGACCAATATAATCAACTGTTGGTTATCTTGAATGTATTAGGACCAGGAAAATGGAAGATGTCTGAAGATTAGAAAGGATTCTAAACTTACAGCTGTAAAACCTGTGTAAATGTTTTGGGAACTTTTTATAAGAATACAATCATCTTTATATATATTTCCAGTTGTAAAGTAATTTTTCTTCTTTTTTTTCTTTATATAACAAAATTAAGTAGTATTTCATTAACAAGACGCAAGATTTATTAACCTTTTGTTTTTAATATTGATACTGTTCCAAGAAATATACAAAACGAAGTCCTAAAACTGTAACGGTATGTAGTCAGTATTATCGAAAACTCCCAGAATCTGTGACTTTTATTCATGTTATACCCACTGCTATTTTACATGATGCGTCTAAAGAAAAGCATCTGCATGTACACGAAGTTACTGGACATTCTGAATGTTGCCTGTTTAAATACGATGATATGTTATTGGAGAAGAAAGAATGTAAGAGTCACAGAAATTTGATTATATTACCGGAACCAATGCGTAATATGATCAGCATGACCGCCATGTCTACATGTTTGACACCACGTGAACCAATTACTAAATTCTGTCAGTTTATTATCACATTCTTCGCTTCTGTTGACGTTGGATGTTGTCATTTGCAATCCACTTACGGTGCCCATATGCATTAAGCATATTGCGCATCGCGGTAATGGTTTTCTACAATTTGGGCACGAAGACATCTATAAAAAATACGAAGACAATATTATTTATTTTACTTGATATATCACTTACCGTTTTATTAAACATCCGCATGAAAATATGTTACCTTCAATTTATTGGGTGTACTTCCTAACCTGCCAAAAGGCCCTCTCGCTCTACTCAGACCTTGCATAAAAGCGGATATACTTTTTCCACAAAAATTACAAGAAACGTATATTTGCTGCGGAGGTTTCTCATTCGTCGCAGATCGCATTGCGATATCAAAATGAGCTCTTTGAGTCCACATTTTCCAAGCATTTAAAAGATTTCTGTAACTTTTATTTAAATTCTTGAAGTTATATTTGCATTCTACAATCGTTTTAAATAAATATTGTTTGTCGTGATACCTTGTAATCCAAACTTGAACTTGGTTTTCCTGCAGTAAGGTTGGTGTAAATGCTCTAATAGCTATCAGACTACAGCTTTGAACATCGCCGGTAATTTCTAAATATCGGTTTAATAATTGTATGCCTTCTAAACTGGCACCTGAAATGAAATGCAAACTAAGCAAATATTATAATTAGGATATGCCAATTGTACAAACCTGTTAGAAGAAAACCCGCTAAATTTCCTTCGTCAGTCAGCTTTTGAGTTAATTTCTTTAAATATTCACTTAACTTATTATCCGATAAAAACATAAGTGCAAATGCTACTCGGTCTTCAACTGCCATGCCACTTTCATTCTATAAATATATATTTTTCTCATTTTACACATATCATAAGTTTATTTCCATTTCCACAAGAAAGAAGAGATTTACATTTACCAAGACATTTTCATAAGAATCGTCTGCAGTTAAAAACGCAAAAGTTGCTCTCAAGTAAGGGTCCGTGAGTTGAGATCTACATTTCAAACACGATTCTCTCCACATGCTATTCCTATCCTCGGAGAATCCTGACAAAGCCATAGCAACGATATTTAAATTCGTGGACATCGACATTTTAGTAGCTCCTCGATTTAAAATTTCTATAGCTTGCCGTAGACATAAATTAAAAACTGCTATTGCTGCTGCTCTTGGATATGCTCCTTCTCTTTCTAACCTTTCTAAGAATAAATTATCATAAAGACTATTGGTATCTTTGTCAAATCTCCAACCACATAAAAGCAATCCTTTATCTCTGTCTGGAGATCTAAAACATTGAATCATGTTATAAAACTTCAATGTGATACATATAGATATTTCATACCTGTAGATTTTTGCAGTATGATTAGATCCTATATCTGACCAAGGGCGATGAATTAGTTCCGATTTCAAAAAACCATTGTTAGATCCTTGTTGATCATCTAGTTTTAAAACTATTCTATGTAACATTAACAAATATTATTCGTGAATTTTCGAACATATAATTAGAAAATTATTAATTTACCTGACACCCGGATGTTTGTTATCTGTGCATGGTATAGTGCCATCCTCCACCAAATAGCGACTTAAGTACAACCATTGCCACAGGTTTTTAAGAGTATCATTTTCAGCCAGTTCACCATTTTGAGCCAGCTCTGGCTATAAACAAACATGTTAAAAGTTTTAATATGATATAAATTATAAATTCTCTTAACTTACAAGTAAGCCATATTCCGAAATAGCGCGTGTTTTGGTTAAAATAGAAATGTCGTTCAGGGCTTTGTAAATATTATCGTTGCCCCATATATATTTAAATGATTTTGAAGCATGATTCCAAGCAAGATGGGACCGTGTTGACCAGTTTACTGTAATCCTTTCACAAACTGTATAATCTATAAGTCCTTTAGAAAAATAAAATGAAATCAGAAACATGTTTCCCCAGAATTTGTTCAAGCTAATAGTATAATACTATCAAACCTTGTTGAGATATTGCCAACAATCTGTTCACATGCGTTGGATGCCACGAAAAACTTATAGGAGTATGCCATGATGGAGCAACTGTCCTTTCTAATGCTCCAGGTTCTGTATCTTCTCCTCCTCCAATCCCACAATGTTGAATATCATACAAATGCAGTGTCGCTTTATTAAGAACATTATTGTTATTAAATAAATTTATAATTACATTACAAAGAAATTGATGTGATATTTTACCCGAGTCCTTCTGTAAAGCTCCCAAAAGATTATGTCTAGTCGGACACCATAGTACTTTTGCAATTTGTCTGTTTTGTGACAAGGTCAAAACAGGTTTCTCAAAACACCTTGTATCCCAAATTATTATCTGATTATCAACGCTTGAAAGTAAATGATAATTATTGTGTGGGTCCACTGATACATTGTAGATAGCCTTAGTGGCTGTCGTATTGACTACTTTTGAAGAATCTAATGTAAAACAATTTAATATATACAAAACAAATTATTATATAAAGACGACCAAACAAAACTGTTTTATGATAATAATACCTCTAAAATCAATGATTTTTAATTGTTTGTTATTAGTGCCAACTACAATACACTTTTGCTCGTGTTTAAACCAAGAAATAGAATGTACAGTTTCTGAAACACAGGCTTCCGCGATAGGTCTTACAGAATCTGTTTGTGCTGCATTATGGTGATGTATCCTTTCAGAGGTCTGCAAACCTTTGTTTATATCCCATAATAAAATGGAATGATCTTTACTATGTTTATCTAAGCCAGATACAATTAAATTTGTGTCCACAGGATTCCAAGCAACTGCATTGCATTGTCTCGCGTGTTTTGGGACTGTAACAGTTTATAAATCCAAGTAAAATATAAGTATACAGCAAATTCCATTTGAAATAATTGCCATTGAAATAATTTACCTAATTCTTTTCCACTAAGACCTTGAGAATCAAAAATTGTCGAACCAAAAGTAGTTAAAACAACCTTCCCATTTGCTTGTCCAACAGCTAATAGGATATCTGGTTCCAATTGTGGATATATATCAATGCATTTGACATAATGATGATTGGTATTTGTCGCAAGTAAATGAGCAACAGTGGTATCAGAGATCTTTGTGTCTGTATGCAAAAAAAATATAGGGATGACTGTCCTCCTTTCTTAAACTTTATGTAAAATTACATTATAATACATTTTATATAAGGTATATTTACTCACATAATTGTCTACTATTGTCTTTTACTTGTATTACTTCGTACAAACAAATTTCTGTACCCCACGTGATAAATTTATTGGCATGAACTGGAGACCACTGTACATCAAATTTAATACTACTCATTTTATGATAGTTCTATGAAATTCTATCAACAAAAATAGAATGCATTACTTTTCGCCTAAAACGAGAAAAACAAGATAATGCGTTTCGCGATTATGCATTACGACAATATTCTTCAATTTTAAAAAATATTCCTTAACCTCGAACATATTTTTTGTTTTTTTTTTCTTTATTAAACGTCTTCACTCAAACGTGACATTTTTATATTCATTTTTTCGATTATTTAACAAACAATCCGCAGTAACTTTGGGCGCTGAACAGCGAACTACAATGCAACGAAAAATTTCTATACGTTTGAACTTCTGATTGGATGTCTGAGAAATTTGTCCAATTATTTCCCCCTTTACATAGCGGGTGTTTAAAAAGTACACATAAATATACATATAACAGACATTTAAAATTTTATTATAGTTTATAGAAAATTATACTATTAAAAGATAAAGATTCTTTATTTAATTTATTTATTTAACTTTGTGCAGACAAATGTATATAATATTACACTCACATTACGCGTATCTCACATATTTTAACTAATTTAATAATTTGTAATACATTTTCAATTATACTTTAAAACGCATGATGCAAAATATATAACACTGCTCTTTCAACTTATATAAAATATGTTTTATTAAAAACTATAGATATATAGTTAAATTATGATGATAATAGTGCATGATAATTACATAAACAATGATTTAACTTACATGTGTTAGATAACTTGTGTAACTTGCATTTATATGTAACTGAGTTGTAACTCATCTGTTTACATACAATTATAACGTATAATATATCTCATATACAAATATTTGTGAGATGAAATTTATTTTAATTTATACATACTGATAAAACTGTTTCAAACAACTCTATTATGTTATTAATTTCATTCTGTGAACACTTAAAAAGGCACAATTAATTTCAATAGTACAAAAATATCAAAACGCAAATACAAGAAAAAATATTACTTTCTAAAATGTCATTATCAATAAATATGTTCCAAATCATAATCATTTTGTAAAATTTCAATACTTAATAGTACACATATATATGTGTGTGTGTGTGTGTGTGTATATATATATATAGTTATAAAATGTAAATATAATATCAAGATTTTCTTATTTTTTCATGAATAAATGCACCTCATAGAGGTTCAAGTCTTTCAGATATTATTAATAATGTTCTCAGTCTATTGAAATCTATTAATTTACAGACATAATATTTTTCATACAATTCAATTACTCATTTAACAGCAAGAATGTGCATTCTTGAATAGTAAATTGTGCTATGAAATACATACATTTAATGACCCTTTAACCAAAGATCTCTAAAATTAATAAATACAATCAAAGGCAAGTGTTTAAATTGCATTTAACTCAGAAGTTATATATGCAGTTTACATACAGCATATTAAAATGCAACTAAAAGAAGATAATATTCAATCTGGATACAAACACGTAAAAACCATTCTTAAATTTTATCATAATTCAAAATATAAAACTAATTTTTTTCTGAAAATTAAAATTCAAGTTTTTTATCGTTTGCTGTAAATGTAAATACAGTTATTCTATTTGCATCTGCACATTCAGGACACAAAGATATTTTAATATAAAAATAATAAACTGTATTACATTTGTACATAGCTGTATATTGTAAACTAGTCTTACAAAATACGACAAATGATAAGCAAACTGCGGGCAAATTACCACATGTCTTCTTCACTTTACAGTGCCATGACTGCCTTATTATAGCCTTATTATAATTTAAACAACTCGAATATATTAACATTTTATTAATAAATGATAACATAGAGCAAGAGTGCTGAAATCATTTAAGGTTTTAAAGAAATATACAAAATGCATCGATGAATATATAATAATTTTATTTGCAAATAAAATCAGTTACAGCGTTTTCATAATAAATATTTGCAACATTTTTTTCTTTTTTTTTTATTAAATGATAACGAAATATTGTGCATAGTATACATGTATAATATATATATACACGAGCATATATTGCATGCACATGTATGTATACATACACATTAATTTCTTTCCTTCACGTTCTCCAACTTTCCCTTTTTTAAATTAAATAATTGTATATATTTCAGCACTCTAATAGCAATTAAAAATTGAAAAATTTATATATATATACACATATATATATGTATGTATAATATAATTTTGTGCACTGTTGAAAATTTGTTTTTTCTGAATTAGAATAAATATTGCAACATAAATTAGTTGGTTACAATGTACAAATTATAATTATATACCAGTGCATTATAAATTTGGTAGTTTGATGGGAAAAAGTACAAAGTTTACATCTATTAATATTGTAATTATTGAATTACATTTAAATTACGCATTTTCAATGCAGCTGTCCCATATTTATTTTTAGTATCAATTCACTGTAAAGTGTCAGAAAACTTTTTTGCATATGTATCTGTATGTCACGCATTTTTATGTATATATGGATGTACATATGTATGTATATAAATACACTTCTCTTACTCAGGTTTTGCAATTAGGAGTTGAACAGTCCATTATAGGAGCTATACGAGTTGTTTTATGTTTGTTAGAGCAAAATACAGCAACTTCTTTTTTTCTGTTCACTTCCGTCCCCTTGATTTTCCTGCGCTTTACGTGCAGCTATTGCACGCATCAAATCAAAGAACACCTAGAACACAAAGAAACTGTCAATTTTCATTTTATACTTCCGTTACTTAAAGAACGCAATTATACTTTATTATGTATTATCATTATCAGGACAAAAAATAAAATTTACTTTTCGTTCGTAATTATCGTTTAGTTTTATTCATTAAATTGACTCAAATATAAAATATTGTAAATAGAAATATAGTTTGGTAATGTATGATATCTCTAAAATAAACATGCGTATCAATAAGCTATATTTACTATGTAAAAAATTCATTCCCATTCTTTTTGCGTTTATGATAAAAGTCTCGAAAATTAACGAAAAAGAAAGTCAGTCTGTGCCTTTGTAATTCGATTGGTACTGAATTGAAATTATGCATGCATACGCAGTGTTTCAGGCATAAGCTGGAAATAACATAAGCGAAATTTATATAAAAAATTTTCTTTTGTACGTGCCTGTGAGAGACACTCTTGCAGAAGGTTGATACTTCTGGTATAAGTGTTACCTGCTGATATTGCACATATACATACTTATTTAAATTTCAGAAAAAAAGTGAAAAGAATACTGCAATATATAACATTTCTAAATTATCATCCAGTTCTCCATTTATAAACGATCAAAAATAGTGCAAAAGAAGCAAACCTATAGAATTTTGCACTTCTTTTTCTTCCTCTTGGCACGGTCCTTTCCACGACCGTTGCTTGCTGACTTATCTTCAATCTTGCGTGATCTTATTTCACGCATCAAGTCGAAAAATACCTGTAAATGTGCAAGTGATGCCATCTCAAAGCTTCAAGGCTTGAAAATGTGCTTTATAAATTCAAAGAAAAAATGCAATGTATATTTAGATATTACTCTTATATTTATACAGTATATTTCATTGCAGAATTTTCCAGTGCAAAAGCTATAAGACATATGTATGTGTAGCGAAGGAAATAAAACGTACAGTAAATTATATATTAAGCTAATTAAATATATTTCATGCAATGTTCGTGTTCTAAAAACTATAATAAATTTAAGATGATAAGAAAATATCAATAATGCATGTGCATTTTTTTGCATACAATTATAAATACAGAAATATCATTATAATATTATTAACATAAAACTGTTAATTGTCTAAAAGGCATGTATTTCCATATTATTACTTATGCAATAACTATAAATATAAAAAGTACAATTCAATCATCATACCTTATCAACGTTTTCTTTTGTTTTTGCACTTGTTTCTACATATGGTACACCCCATTGTTGTGATCTGGCTTGAGCTTCAGCTAAACTAACTTTCCTTTTTTCTTGTAAATCACATTTATTTCCCACTAATAAAAATGGAATGTTTTCATCGTTTTTTACCCTGAGGATCTGTTCTCTAGATGTTCAAAATTAAATAATATTTTATCTCAAAGATAAAAGTAGTTCACAGATTCCATAGATCAAATAATTCGTTACCTAAATTCTTGAGTGGCTTGAAAACTATCATCTTCAGTTATAGAAAATACACAAAGAAATCCCTCCCCACTCCGAAAATAATTATCCCGAATTGCCGCATAATCCTCTTGTCCTGCAGTGTCTAATATATCTATTTGAACTTCCTCTGCATCCAATACAACTTTCTTCCTGTATGAATCTGCTTTTGTAGGTTCGTAATCTTCAACAAACTGATTTATATGTAAAAGAAGAACAATCAGTCGACAATATAACTTATTTCTTCTCATATGTCTCTATAAAATCACTGTACCTCGTCGTACATAAATTGCAATGTTAGAGCAGATTTGCCTACACCTCCGCTTCCAACCATTATAACTTTATGCATCGCTTGAGTTGTACCTGGCTTTTTGGACATGTTGATTTATTTTTCTGAAATCAAACGCAACAAAATGTTTACAATTAAAAGACACAGAAAAATTCATTTTATGCGAGTGCTGGTTGGTGTATTTATTAAACAAAATGTTCTCCTAGAAGTAAGCACCACTGAAAGAGATTACATTGAACAAAGACAGGATGTGAAACTACCATGCGAGAAATCTAAGAATAGGGTCAGTAACTTACATTTACCAACATTCTATTTACTTTATAAACTTGTTTATACATCAGAAATTAATTATACCTATTGATTTAATACCACATCTGTAGCGTCAAAATAACTTTTACCACGATAAACATTCACATACATACATATGTATTATTTAAAAGACTGCTAGTATCCTGAAAGACACATTAAAGATACAAGACAATCTGCTGTTTCTTTCTCCAAAAATTAGTCAGTTGTATTTATCATTTTTTCTGACTACCAGTAGATTAAAGAAACTATTGCACAAACAAGGAAACACGTTACAACGTTCGCAAATAACAGTGGCATTTAATTTTTTCATGTTTATACATCAAGTCTGTGAACATGGACGTGAGAGGAACTGTGCAGAGATGTACGCTTTCTGACGGAAATTGAAATTGTTGTTTACATTTTTATACTTGTTTGTAGAGAAAAAAAAATGTTAAAATGATAAAAAAAAAAAAAAAATTCATCAGGATGACGAATAGTAAAAAAGGCGGTGCCACACACCCAATATCTGCTTCATTCTATGTTCCTGCAATTCCACTTGGTGCGTGTTACTGTACATCGTAAAATATCTCCTACCTTGACTGATTTTTCAAACTGCAGGTTTTCAAACTGGCGTATCGGACAATTTCTTCCTTTTTTTTTTCTTTTTTTTTTCTATGAGCACCACCGTTGCGCTTTGCTTTACTCGATCACAACTGATAGTACCAATAATTAACCATAGAGGTACCGGTGCACTCTACCGGCACCTTTCCACACTGCAATACCGGCGCTCGAAGGAGGCATTAACTTGTTCCAAGAGTTTCTTTCTTTTTTTTAATGAATACAGTATGCACGACATATTATCTATTATTTTATTATTATTTTATTATTATATTATTATTATTATTTAATATATATATTATAATTGAAATGTTATTACTCAATGATATTATTATTATATTGTTATTATTGTATTTATTATCTATTATTTTATGTTTCATGTCGTGTTATTGGATTGTAATTTATTCTTATTTATTATCTTTCTCTGTCTCTTTGGAAGTCTCATGATTATTTCCAAAATTTGCCAGCGAAATGTTGCGAAAGATGTGTTTTGCATATATTATCCAATGAAACGAGAGAAACTTTTGGGACACCTAATAGTTCAACGCTTCTTTGTAGCTGTTAAAAAGAAATATTATAACTTAAAAGAACGCTAATGTATATATTACTCTAGTAACATTAATAAATTGCTGACCGATAAAATAATTTTAATCTTTTACAAATAAGATTTTTTTGTTTAATCTAAGAAATTTAATTAGAAATATAATCTGGAAACTGATAATCTGTATCATGACAATCTAGTTTTTTTTTTATAGCTCTTCGCACTTGGCGTGCTGTACAATAATCTAGTTTTTTTTCCTTTTTTTTTAAGAAGGCAATTTCTTTCATTTCAAAACATGTTTAATGCAACTATAAAATGATACAGGAGATCCTGGTAACTTTTTCGGAAACGCGCACTCTTATTCGCCAGCCTCTTAGCTGCGAACGTTTCTCATTGGTCGTTGAGGCATGCGACAAAACGAGCGGGGATTTCGGTCGAGATGTTCATTTTTACGAGACACCGCGGTTACGCGTTTCGCAAAACAATTGTCCGCAACAAGCGCGACGAAACGTAGAGGACACTTTTGTTCGAATTGCCTTGCGCTTCACCGCGTCGAACCAGCGGGAATTGGTTAGAAAATAATAAGTGACGTCAAAAGAAGTCGCGTGATCATTCTCGAAGTTACGGACTGGTCAGAGGTGTAACTCTCCTGTAACACACAGTGGTGTTCGTCGAAGATACTTCTCTTCAAACCTACGACTCGTTTTCGTTTTGATCAAACCAAATACGTATCGTTGTTCTTCCAGCGAGCCTGAAGAAACCTACGTCGTATTTACGAAGCAAGAATATTCCGCGAAAGTGAGACATCGTTGAGAGTGTCGTCTACTTTGGCAAACGGAGCCACGCGATGAGAATTACTGACGAAAAGAATCTCCCCCGCGCTTCTGATTTGCACGTAATAATAATCGCCCCGAGATTCGAGCGATGTACGTCGCTCTACTAAAAGTTCAGACTTCTCTCGGCGTACGGTAGATGCGCGTAGTTCTTCCATTCTCTCTCTTTCTCTATCTATCTATCTCTTTCTCTCTCTGCTTTCGTTGTCCCACTTCGGCGAGATAGAGAACTCGCGAGACTCACCATTACAGCACTCTCGTCGTTGAACCACACTCTCTCTGTTTCCGTGATTCTGCGATGGTTAACCCTACGACGCTGTATTGTTAACTGAATTCAATGCACGATGACAGTCTGTAAATACGAGTGGTAGAAGGAAGCCGCGGTGACAGTGGGCCGAACGTGACGAATTTGCGACGGTATGTCGAACAAGTGACACATACGCGCGGAGTGTTTCAGTTCGGTAAGACCGGGAAGGAGGATCTTCCCTGGTGGTCCTTTTCCTTCGTGAACAAGGAGGTTAGCGAGGCAGCTGCGCGAAAGACGGGGGATTCCGAAGATCGGGAGGAGTATCTACATGGTGTCATAGAATGACCGATCCGAAAATCGAGATGCATTACACGCCACCGAACTCGGACACCATTCAAACAAAACCTTTTCCCATTCGCGGTAAGATATCCTGAAAAGAAAGGAAAAAAGAAAGAAAGGAGAAGGTATTTAGATGGATAGATTCCTAATCTTAATTCTTAAATTTAAATTGTTATTACATAGATACATAGATACATAAATTCCTAATCTTAATCCCTAAATTTAAATTATTTCAAATGCTCGTCCCTTTTCTTCTTTTTTCCTTTTTTAGCAACAGAAAATACTGAAGTTTCGTGTTGTAATTTCTCTAAAGAAGCGATAGTTGAGAAGCGAGATTGATCTTCTTATATATTTTTTACATAAATATTTCTCGATGCATTCGTTCTCGTACGAGAAATTCGCTGCTTATCGCCGTGGGTGAATCCCGCAAGAACATAACCTATAAAGATGTCCTACGTTGAACCGCGTGCAACACACGAGTGACACGATTACGTAGGCACGTACGTACGTGACAGGGGATCGTGTTAATTGACCGAAGTCTATGGTAACGCGAAACCGATTGAAACCGGTACGAGGCTGCAAGAACGGCAGCTTAATTTCGACCCTGATTACGAAGATTCATCCCTGCGATCAATCTGGCGTACTTGCACAATCTGCACTGGCTACATAGTAAACTTCAAATCGTCGATGTTTTATTCGAAACGAACATTGTTAAAAAAGTTACTAAGGCTTAAATCGAAAGAATTAACTCTTGAAGTGTTAATCAAAATAATACATTACGACGAACGTGTCTATCGTATAATTATATATACCTCGTTAAAAACAAGAATAATTCTACGAAGAATAATTACTTGAACAGGAATAACTACTAGTAATATTACTAATATAAAGAATAGATATTAGCAAGAAAAAATGAAAGAAAAAAGAAATATTTGTTACATAAAGAACGAAGCACTATAAATGCCGTTTCAGTGACGATTTCTTGAGACGTTTCTTTATTCAATTTGAAAGTTCGCAGGGAGAGACACTTTTTCGTGTACCTTGGTCTTTGCTCGATTATTGAAAACAGCCGGGCGATAAAATTAATCGGGCGAAGATTGGACGAAGAGAGATGGTGGCGCGCGTTTGCATGTCGCGTGTTTGTCGAGCCACGAGCGTTATTTCGCAAAGAGCGCGTCAGATAACAAAATGTTTACGTTCGTAAAGCTGTATCGGAACCAACCGGGGATCGGTCATCTCGATGCGGTCTCCGACTGTTTACGAGGTCGCCGTATAGTTAGAAATGCAATGAACTCTCAATTTCAGTCCGATTATTTCCGTATATTTCAAGCCAGTGGAAATAGGCAAGTGGTCATTAATAGCACCGACCGGGAATTGCATAAATTTCTTCGGACAGCCAGTTCTCATTAGACTTATACAATCTCGTATAAATCTACGGCACGTTAAGACCGTTGTAACCAAGAACGATGTTATACATTAGTTTCTAAGCCCCCAGACCTCGTAACACTTGTGTGTATATCTCTGTACGTATGTATATTATGTATGTATCTCTCTTCAATTAACAAATATTTTGACAGAACGTCTGATTAGAGAGCAATAACAACAAATTAACGTGATAATTTCCACACGCTCGAAGGACAGTGTATATTATCGATATAGAGGGAAACCTACAGAAATTAATAAAAAAATTATACATAGGTTATGCATACATACCTGCGACTCGTAGGTAACCGACCAATGAGAGGTGATTCTATATGTAAAAGAATGTACCGAGAAGAAAGAATAAAACTTTTTCATTCAACCCTTCCTTTTTTGGGGGGGAAAATCAAGCTTGAAAATTTATCAACTATTGGCTGGTTCCAATATAATAATGACATAATCGACACGGGGATATTCTCTACGCACAAAAATAAGTGAAAAATGTAAAATAGAATTTTCTCGTTTAAGGTGTCGTTTTCATGAAAATAAACTTTGAACATGGTTCGTTAAAAATTACTACGAACGCGCGTATACTTGTTAAGTTTTCAAACTCTCTCGAAAGCATCTTATAGGAAAATTCTATTCTCGAGAACGAAGGCTTCAATGAGAATATTTTCGACACAATTTTACACGTGGAATGTCGTGGGACACTCGGTATACATATATAGTACAGTATGTAGATAAATGAAAAACTACGGCGTAAGAGATACCAATGTTTCCAACAACAAAGTGACTTACGCGCTAAGTGAAAATGAACGATATCGCGCGGATGATAATGTCACACAGTGAAAAAAAATTAATTTCCGTTCTGCGTTAGAGGTACACGCTATCTAAGCACATTTTTTGACGTACGATGACATTTGGATTTCAATCTAATAAAAATTAAAATCTCGCGAAAGGTACACGATAAAAAAAAAAGAATTCTGAAACGTTCGTGTTTTATTGCAGGCGAACGAGCGAATTTCGTAAACAAGCCGCACGTGATCGCAATGGTGGGCCTGCCGGCTCGCGGCAAGACGTACATCTCGAAGAAGTTGTGCAGATATTTGAATTGGATCGGTATAAGTACGAAGGTGTTCAACTTGGGAGAATACAGACGGCACGCGACCACCGCTTACCAATGCCATGAATTTTTCCGTCCTGATAATATTAAGGCGATGGCAATACGTACCCAGTGCGCGATGGACGCGCTGAAGGACGTCTGCCATTGGCTAGAGAGCGGGGACGGCGAAGTGGCTGTATTCGATGCCACTAATTCAACGGTCGAGAGACGACAGTTGATCAGAGACATCGTCGTCGAGAAAATGGGCTTCAAACTCTTCTTCGTAGAATCTGTCTGCAACGACCCTGAAATCGTTGAACAGAATATCATGGAAGTAAGAGAAATGTTCTTTTAGATCTGCCTAAGTTTTTAAAGTATTTAATATGATACAAAGCATTGTAATAATTTTCAAGGTAATGATATGTAGGAAATTTTTAAAGTATTTTACATAGGCTCAGATAGTTTGTTCTTTGAATGTTGCCTCAGTTTCTTACCATCATATGTGAAATACTCAAGAAGTAAAAGAGTTTTTCTTTTTTAATATATTTGTAAATTCAATTTTGAAATTAATCAGAAGTGATGAACCATTAGCAAGGTAAAACTTTTACATAGACTCTCAAGTATGTAGTTTGTTTTTTGAATGTTGCCTCAACCATCATATGTGAAACACTCAAGAAGTAAAAGAGTTTTTCTTTTTTATTATATTCGTAACTTCAATTTTGAAATTAATCAGAACCGATGAACCATTAGCAAGGTAAAACTTTTACATAGACTCTCAAATATGTAGTTTGTTTTTTGAATGTTGCCTCAACCATCATATGTGAAACGCTCAAGAAGTAAAAGATTCAAATAGTTTGTATCTTGAATGTTAGCAATTCTGATGGTCAGTTTCTGATGTTACCCATCATATGCAAAATATTTGAGAAGTAAAAGAATTCCTGCTTCTCAATCAATTCATAAATCAATTCATAAATTTTGAAGTTAATCAGAAAAAATGAACTTTTGCTGGTGAATTTTTGCAGGTGAAAGTAAGTAGCCCGGATTATGCGAACATGAACAAGGAGGAAGTACTGGCTGATTTCATGCTGCGAATCGAGCACTACCAAGAGAAATATCAACCGTTGGACGAGAATCAGGAAAGCGATCTGTCCTTCATGAAAATTTACAACACTGGCGAGAAAGTGCTGGTTCACAAGCATGAGGGTCACATACAAAGTAGGATAGTTTATTATCTTATGAACATCCATATAGTGCCACGTACGATCTATTTAACTAGGCATGGCGAGAGCGTGATGAACCTCGAAGGTAAGATAGGCGGTGACTCGGAGTTGAGCGACAGAGGCTGGGAATATGCCAAAGCATTAGCTAGCTACATCACTAGCCAGAACATTCAGGTACATGGCATAATCATGAAGCATGGAAAATAATCTTTGATTTCCATGATTCGATGAAAGTAAACGTAACGTTTTTCGTTCTGGTTGTAGGGATTGCGAGTGTGGACTAGCTGGCTGAAGAGGACCATTCAAACAGCTAGTGACGTGAATGCACCTCAAGAAAGATGGAAAGCGTTAAACGAGATTGATGCGGTGAGTTGTCTAGGGAAATAATTAATTATTCTCGTTTATATTGGAAAATTTGGATGGATGAACTTGAATAGAAGACATTGAGATACTATTCCAAAATGATTTTTTTTTTTTTAAGCTTTTGATGTTGAACTAATAAAAGATTTTGTATTCTTTTTTGTATTTCATTATATACAATAGTTACATTAGGATCAGTAAAACATCTATTTCATATTTATAATACAAGATAAATACGTAATATTGAATGGACGATAATAAAAATAAATGAAATAAAAATATTTGCATGTAGGATTATTTATGAGAATGATAATAATTGAACACCTATGCACAGGGTATCTGCGAAGAAATGACTTATGAAGAAATTGCAGACAAGTACCCGACAGACTTTGCTGCAAGAGACCAAAATAAATTCTCGTACCGTTATCCGAGAGGGGAAAGTTACGAAGATTTGGTCGCGCGATTGGAACCGGTGATAATGGAATTAGAACGACAGGGTAATGTTCTGGTCGTTAGCCACCAAGCGGTTTTGAGATGTCTACTTGCTTACTTCTTAGATAAAAGTGCGGGTAAGTATTTTCATTTATAAATAATTTTGTTATTTGACATTGGTGTATAAATAATTCGGAAAAGATATTTTTATCAACGTAACACTGCTTAATCTACCTAACAGAGATTAAGAAAGTATATTTTTAATTAAAGTAACTGCTTAATCAATTGAACAAAGTGCGTTCACGTCGCAAGTACAGAAAGCGTGTTTACGTTACACAGACACATGTATACTTGAACAAGGGGAGTATCAAAGTTGCATAATTTTAGACCTTCGACACATCGAAACGAACTAAGAAAATACGTACATGTGTGCAAAGACCGAGATATCGAAAAAGCGTAGTTACGCATACAGAAAAAATTCAAGACACCCCTTTCTTGTTTTAATTTTATTACGATTAATTGCCGCAGTAAGGAATATTTACCGTGTTTCTTGACATCACTTTTTCTGTCTATGCTGCCGCACGACTTGATAATTCTATTTCTTCTTCATTTTAAAGTATTGTAATTCTGATTATATTTGTCCTCTGTTCCAGATGAATTACCATATTTAGAAGTGCCACTACATACTATTATTAAACTAACGCCTGTCGCGTACGGTTGCAAGGTGGGACACATTCGATTGCCAATTGACGCAGTGGACACACATCGGCCGAAACCAAAGGTAAAAATGATCAGAATTGACTAGTAGCAATTGTCTTTCTTCCTCTTGTAAATATATCCTTATGCTGGAACAGAGACAGAAAGAAAGAAAGAAAGAAAGAGAGGAAAGAATAAGAAAGAGAATTTCGAGACATTTGTTTTTACTTTGCTTGCCGCTCTTAATGAAATACCTCAATTCCTTAAGTTTTTTTTTTGTTTTAATGTTCCCAGAATGCCTGACCATTAGTGGATTGGGACTACTTTCTCGTATATAATCTTGATTTAATGTATCCTAAATGTCATCCAACTCTAAGCTTTGAATATTAAACACTGCGTTTTGCATGCATTTTTCTATTAAAGTAACAATACGGATAATATGACTTAAGACGTCGTGCTGTGCATGTACTTAATACACATGTGATGACATATTTAATAGATGTGAATATATGTACATATACATATGATGGTAGATATCAATTTGTGAGAACTTTGATGTTATACTTATCAGAATGAGATGTACATGTTTGTAATTATCGGCACACAGTAAAACATGCAGGAGAATTGCACTTATGACATTTGTTTAATAAATCGTATAATCATATGGTATTGTGGTAAATCGAGTCTATTCCAACGAACCATTCACACCATCGTAGTGAATAAGTGCTGTGAAATAGAGTAAAATTGTTTGTATTTATGTTATGGTATAAACTTATGCGTGATACAACATATACAAATGTATGTTTTAATGGTACGACGTGTGACCGTAAAACTTATTATTAAAATCTGCTTGATCATCTATGTGCGACATACTTTTCTTTCACTTTTTTTTCTTTTTTTGTTCATCGTGTAGGTATCGTAGAAATGTAGTAGTTACTGCTTATATTGGATCAACTGTCCAAACGATATAACGTTTCGTTGTGAAACTCTTTTCAGATCCCTGGGTATCTAGAGGAACAATTCCGAGGGAAAGGAAAATTACCTCGCACGTGATAACGACGATGTAACACACGACAGAGTTAATTCTAATCGTCGTTACGAGGTGCCGAAGATGCATTCGTTTGGCAGCTGGCTGCCATTCGCACGTCTGATGCAACGCGCGTCCATTTCGTTTCCTATTTTAACAAAACCTAGACGAGATATATCCGAAATTATCCGACATTGTTTCTGTCACGTGATAAAAGTGTTCCTTTTGTTTGATCTTCTGATACGCGTACCGTGTGCTAATGTAAAAAATAGCCGACAAATTTTAGGCCTTGGAGTACACGTTTGAAAAGACAGACAGTCCTACGTAACAGAAACCATGCGAAACAATATAAGTGCATATGTAACATCACGTACGTAAAATTTGTCCCAAACACAGAACTTTCTTACATCTAAAATTTTGAACCTACCGTTCGAAGTTTACACTTGAAAGTGACTCCAGTTTTGCCTCAAAAATACTTTATTTCCTATATATTTTCAAGGTATTTCGATTCTCCAAATATTTTTAGTAGATATTTTTCTTTTTTTTGTTTGTAAATCGATCGCCGATAGAGGAGAGAAAAAAATCAATTCCCGAGAATATCTGCGTATGTAGTGGTTATATAATGATCATTTGTTTATATACTTTATAGAAACTGTTTTATCGATACTGAGACATGTCCCGGCAATTACCAATTTACCGAGTTGCACTATCGACTAAGAAATAGTTAAGCCGTTAATTAATTTACTACGGCAACTACCGTGCCGAGCGAGAATCATGTATTTCGGAAGTTTATCGCCTTATATGATAATCTAGTTACTGGTATGAGGGAATATGGATTCCAACACGCGTATTTTTGTCAAGAGGACGATCGTGCCGTGTGGAAGACCGAGAACTTTTTCGAAGTGTAATTTATTTTAAGAGAAGTGTACATATTTTTTTAATGTCCTTCACGACGAGAAAAAGAAATACATTTATTTGAAAATAATAATGTGCTCCGTCTTTTAATCTCAATGTGTCATTTCGATGTTCGACATAAACGTCAATCCCAAAAATTTTTTTTACGTAAAATATTTCTTCAACGCCACCCCAGATGACATTACTATAGCATTATGATAAAGTAGTACTCAAGCCGCTAATGATAATGTGTGTTTCTTAGTTAATTGTCTTTCAATTTTTTATGTTTATTTCCAAAATACACGATTTGAGAAAGGCGACTACTACAAACAGGATAACGATGATGATGGTGTCATCACATCCCAGATGCATTTTTGTAACTGACGCGCCGCCAAGGTTATTGACCCTTAGGAAACGTGAAGAGGAGAGGGATCGTATTGGAAAGGAAAATTTGACATTAAAAAAATATTTTGTGTGATGCGTTTCGCTAATCAATTCTCCATCATTGGGGTTGTTCTTGCTGATGGCGACGACTCCAGATACTTAGTTGAGGGAATCTCAAAAGGCAAACCAACATCGGAGCAGTGTCACCCCCATCACAAAACGAGTTGCAAGCGGCAAACGTTTTAACTTTAACAATCACCATCTATCTAGCCATCAGCTACATCTACTGGGGGTTGAAGATTGGCAATGTTGAACTTGTATACGTTAGTGACGAATACTGCAGAAACTCGATACCAGATGGAGCAATTATCTCCATCATGGCTGCCGGCCGGAGAGATACTTGGAATTGGAGAGAGACAGCGGAATTTGAATCGCGGAAGACTCGCAGTGACGTAGGAACTAAGGCAACGGGCGACGTCACAATGGCAACAACTAACGAATTTGGCCCTGATTCTGGTGGTAGAATTAAGGTACTAATCTTCTTCAAATAGAGTGAAAAGTTCGCTTCGAATACTTTTGTATTTCTAACCCATACACATTGAACAGAGTAGCAGACAAATGTAATATAATAATAACAATAACAACAATTAATCAATTAATGTTTCTTGTAATGTTGGAAAGCAGTGAATAATAGTCGTTTAAATTTTGCTGGATGTACTTGCAGGGAGTTACGATAGTGAAGCCAATTGTGTATGGCAATGTAGCTCGCTACTTTGGTAAAAAAAGAGAAGAAGATGGTCATACTCACCAATGGACAGTTTACGTTAAACCGTACCACAATGAGGACATGTCCACATACGTGAAGAAAGTTCACTTCAAGTTACATGAAAGTTACAACAATCCAAATCGTATTATGACGAAACCACCATATGAACTTACTGAAACCGGCTGGGGAGAATTTGAGATTGTAATTAAGATATATTTTCATGATCCTAATGAACGTCCTGTAAGTATAATCTGTATAATTCTAACTGTATAAATCATACACAACTTTATTAAAATTATTTATATTCTAAATAGGTAACTATATACCATATATTGAAGCTATTCCAAACAACACCAGAGATACAACTGGGAAAGAAAAGTTTGGTATCGGAATTTTATGAAGAGATAGTTTTCCAGGATCCAACGGCTTTGATGCAGCATCTACTGAATTCTAGTAGGCCTATAACTCTTGGTGTTTGGCGCCATAATACAGATTGTATGTATCATTCAAATTAGTGATTTATTATTTGTTGTTATTTAAATGAATGAAATGAACAATTATTCTCATTTTATTACGCAGTTGAAGCAAAAAAGGAATCTACAATGAAAGCAGTAATAGAAGCAAGAAACAAAATAAGACTGGAAGTCATAGATCTTAAGGAGAAATTGACATTAGCGAAGGAAACAATTGCTAAATTTAAGGAAGAAATTGCCAAGATCTCTAAAGCTGGAAGCTTGTCTGTTGCGTGATTTAAAAATTAATAAATTTTTTAAAATCACTATAAGAAAAAAAGAGAGAAAGTACTGTTTTCTATATTTAATTAGGATGTACATAGTTTTAGTAAAGACAATTATAAAACAAATGTAAAACCTTGTAAAAATGTAAGCAATTATATGTAATTTTGTAATATTTGTAATTTTTGTAATATATTAGCAATTATATATAAATTTCCATTAAGCATAATGATTCACTATCATCATATAAATTTCAGTTGTTAATCTCTTTGATCTGTTACAAATAAAATATTTTAAATTCAAAATAATTTTTATTCATTTTTTATAAGTTGAAAAAAAATAAATTTGATTAAAATACTTACTGAAAGATATAACAAAACAGAACCAAGCTTTTAAAATTACAAATTAGTTGATTTTAATATAGGTTTTCAATTATGATGAAACCGCACAATAATTTACAATCGAGAATCGAATAACGCTGTATAATATATATATTAAAAATTGATCATATATCCTATTTCATTAAATGCAAACATATAGCTTCAAAAATCCTTACCAGAATAGAATCACTAATTGTAAACTGTGCAAACTAGTCATTACAATCCCATTAAATGAACGCATCACGAACGATTTCTGGTTTCGTAAGTTCTAATAGTATGAGCGCATGCGCGAAAATTTTTGGACACTTTATGATCTATTAAATTTTCCAAATCTCAGATTTATTATCATTACAATGATAAATCTTAGATTTATTATCATCACAAATATCCTAACATGCGTTATTGCATGCCAACATCAACTAGAAATCCTTATCCCAATAGGATACTCTGCCTCTTGAATCTTGACGTTGTCGTTCTTTGAAAAAATAGTTATCTCATGCAATTAGAGTAGGCTAGACGCAACTACACTATTCTACAGCTTTAGGAGAAAATAAGTTCAGTCATGATAAGAACAGTGGCGGCGGCGTTATCTGCTGGAATCGATTAGAATTCGATTTAAAATAGTTTCGTGCACGTTTTATTCACACGCATGAGAGATGACTGCAGCGCCGAACGCAGGCATCACCAAACCGTGAGCTTTTATAATACTTGACCACGCATTTCTAAGGGATCATGTATAGTTTAGGTTCGAGCTGTCTCCAATTTTCAATACATGCGGTACATATGATGGTACATAGTTACGCAAGGATTTTTCCGTGTCTAAAACCGGCCGGTTGATTAATATTATTACCGAGTATCTCTAAATATTTGCTTAGAGGTCTGATTTCCATGATGCAGATCTTTCAGTCTTGCACTGCCCAACGATCTGAAATTTGCAGCGTTCGATCATGATTATTTTTTACCTTGTACCACAATTATGAATTCGATCTACTGGTCAGTGATGACTTAGCTAAGCTGTTTCGCTGATTTCATCACTTTGTTTTCATTCAGTGTTTCGTTGTTTTTTTGCTTGGCTCGATTAATACGACGTAATATTTGACTGATACGAGTTTCAGCACTAATCGTTGTTATTTTAATGTTAATTCGTTACTTAATTTTACTGAACTTAACCCAGAATGATCCTTCGGTTTACTTTTATGATGTCAATGTTAGCCATCTTGATGCTGCAATCGAAACATCCATATTAAAAACAATTAAATTCGTTTAATATCGCTGTAGTCTTGGTTAGAAAAGTATTTTACTAATAATTTATTGAGACGTGTGAATTATTACTAAAATAGCATTGCTAATATCCATATGTACATTTTCCTTGTATGTATCTATTTCAACTATAATTGTTTGTTGAATTCGTCGTACTAGTCATTTCACACAATGTTGCAACGTAATAAAATTTATAGAAATAAATATAACTGTATTGTAAGAATATTCAATGGTTACCTTGCGAAATAACTCAAAGTTAAACTGCCATTGTAAGTATACCATCGTGTATATTTCGCGCGAAATTTAAAACGGTAGAACTTCGTTCATCCGAATCTCGTTCAGACGAACCAAAGTTACGAAGTTAATATTGAGTCTCAGATATACGAATTCATAAATTGATCAATTTCAGCTATCCTCGTTTACTATCTTTATTCAAACAAATAAAAAATAGAATGTGAAGAAGGTTAGAGACATGTTTGAACAAACGAAGCTTTACCTTTATTAAGATTAAATTTGAAAAAACTAGTAGTCTCAATTCGTTTTATTTGTAATTATTTCTCAGTTAATTTACGGTATCAAAATCCATTTCTTTTGGCTATTACATTTTTCACCTAAACTCCCACGACTTTTTGAAAAACATTGGAGTACCTGTAACAATTGCGATAAACTGTCTTTCAGTTCTCGATGGATCAATAAATGTATATTTTTATTAAAGTGATTCATTCGCTTATTAATCTTTGACTTTTACTAGTCCAGGTATTGAGTTCGCGATTGGCGCGTTAGCAGCTGTGGGGGCTGGATTCTTCACGAATCCAGTCGACGTGATAAAGGTACGCTTGCAGCTACAAGGGGAGCTAGAAGCACGAAATACATATAGGAAAATTTATAAGAACACCCTGCATGCGGGTTATGTGATTGCAAAACACGAGGGCGTGTGTGCTCTACAAGCTGGCATCGTACCGGCTCTGTACTTCCAAGTGGTGCTCAATGGAATACGATTAGGAGCGTATAATACGGCAAAGAAATACAACATAATCACCAATGACAAAGGGAATACTGACATTCTGAAGACCGCGTTATTTACTGGAACAGCTGGCTCTGTCGGTGCTGTTCTTAGCAGCCCATTCTACATGGTAACTATGCGTCTACTATTTCATAAATTATCTCTATATAAAGTAAGATCCTTAGCTATCAACAAGTAACTCGCATTGCAATTGATATGTTAATTTATAGCACTTCAATTCAAAATGAGCAATTTCATATCGCACCCGTTTCTTTTTTTCATATAACAGGTGAAAACACAATTACAGGCGCGTTCAGCACAATCTATAGCCGTTGGCTATCAACACAATTATACAGGCACCTGGTGCGCATTCAAATCTCTGTGGAAAGAAGGCGGCATAATCGCTTTGTATCGCGGCTGGTATGCCAATATACCACGAGTTTTTGTCGGCTCTGCGACGCAGTTAACTACATTCGGTTTGGCTGCGGATTGGTTACGCTCATTACAAGTGAGTGTTTTTTAGCGGCACAGATTAAAGTAAAGAATATTTTATACTTTCTTCTTCTTTTTTTTTTTATAGATGTTTACAGATCAACCAATACTTCTGACCTTTGTGGCTTCTGTAATCGGTGGAAGTTGCGTGGCTTTCACTATGCAACCGTTTGATGTTTTAGCAACGAGGTTGTACAACCAAAGTACGTATAATTTAATTAGAACGCTGTGAAAATAATTTTTGCCGCATTGATCATTCTTGTAATTGAACGCAGAGACGGACGTGAGCGGAAAAGGTACATTGTATAACGGACTTCTGGACGCGATCATTAAAATAGTACAAACAGAAGGTTTGACTGGTCTGTACAAAGGAATTTTTCCGACATGGATGAGAATAGCACCGCACACAGTACTTTGTTTAGTATTCTATGAAAAGTTAGATCAATTGTATACTGTACTTCAACATTAACAATTGTAAAATACGTAGGAAAAATTTTATAATTTTTGAAATATATTATATAAAATGTAAGTATATAGTACGAAAAAAATAAATAAATTTCTTACACGGGCAGTGAAACGTTTCATTCTTTAGTATAACAGCTATACATTTAGAAATAATGACTCGTTTACTGAATATTTTATCAATGCTGTCAATGATTTTAATTAAGTAAGATACGCCGCGCGTATTTTAATTGCAATTTTCATCGACATCACGTAAAATTCAATATTTATCTTTCGACGTATCTGAAAGTCAATTCAAATGTCATTCGAGTATTTGAAAATATGCAATTACTTAAGCCTAATAAAAATGCGGTAGAGACGATATTGCATGGCTGCAATTTAAGAGCACAATAACGAATAAAAGTACAACGAACTTCCTATATCAATTGTAAAAAAATAATCCTTATTAATTAAATATGTACATAAACCTTATTGTGAAAAAATTTGAAACCTATCTATTCGTTAGAGGTGTTAGATTAAAAGATCCACAAAGTATCACTTTTTAAATTTAAGCGTTATGGATGGAATTTGGTCTAGACTTGAATCCTTGACTTATTGATGCTGCTACATCCATTGTGTTCCTTCCTCTCGTCTCAGGTAAGTATATCCTATATAGATTAATATTATACTATTAAATGACATATTACAAATGATTATATCATAATTCAATTTTTTGTATGTACCTCACGATTTGTCCTAATAATAAAAGAAACCCAGCAAATATTAAAAAAGTATATGGTCCTATGACGCTTTCTACTATTGGAAATGTCATGCCTACTATAAAATTTCCACCCCAATTGCCGACACTTCCAAGTGCCATAGCTATTGGCCTGGGACCAACGTCAAATAATTCAGATCCAATGAAATACGGTATTGGTCCAAGGCCGATTCCATAAAATATCACATAAACCAAAACGGCTATCGTGCATATTACAGGCATGTGTGATGATAGATGCTGTAAGGATACAAACGATTATTTTACAAACTTGAACTTTGAATTTTCAATGTTTTCGAGCTTTCGTATTCGAAGTAATTTTACTTACAATCAATAAAATAGAAGTACATAAAACGATCAAACATCCAAAGCACAAATAAATACTGCTAAGTAAGACACCTCTCCTGTTAAAAGATGACATCACTGGTACTGAGGCAAGTGCCATGCCAATGTTAGCTGCACCAGTTCCAAGAGTAGCGTATTGTGCTCCAGTAATGCCAAGTCCGGCATCGATAAATATGGAGTTAGAATAGTAAAACACAACGTTTATACCGCTCATTTGTTGCCCGAATTGTATCATACAAACTAAAAATACAGGAAGCTTCAGACTTGGATCACTCAAAATCCGCTTAATTGTCCAAGGTTCAGCTGTTGTTTTTTTTTCGATTTCCTGTTGCAGACTAGAAATTTCCACTTCTAACAACATTATGTCCATTTTACGTATTCTACTCAGTTCTGAAACATTAAAATAGATTTAAGTGCTACTGTGAATATACTGTAAATACACTACTACAACACCAGTATTTGCTAACCATCTAAAGCTTTCTGCTTCTGTTCCCTGATTATGTACAGATATTTAGGACTTTCTGGTAAAACAATACTTGTAAAAATTAAAGCATATATGCACAACGGAATAAATGCTCCTAGCATGTAATGCCAGGAATTCTCAGTCCCTAAAACTGTATTGAGCCCTGCAATTTGTCCTAAAAACACTCCACATGTAATTCCCAATTGACATATTACTCCAACTGCACCCCTTAGCCTAAGCGGCGCAATTTCTGACATATACATTGGTACTATACTTGTTGCAAAACCTCCAGACAGACCTGGAAAAGTGAAAGATTTTCATATAAAAAATCTCAGCCAAACTATTTAGAATTTTTGAAATTAATGGTTTTAATGACTTACCAACAAAAAATCGGCCTGCTAAAAGAATTTCAATTGAATTTAATTTGAGTATTAGAAAAAACATCCCAGCTCCTATAATGCCAAATATGTTTCCGACACATAATGCTCCTTTCCTTCCATATCTGTCTGCTATCCAACTTGAGAGAAACGAACCAGCTGCTCCACCAATGAGAAAAATTGAGACAATACTAGACCAAACTATTTTCAAACCGCTTTCAGATACGTCTATGTAATATCGTTCCTTAATACTTTCATTGCAAAAAGCTCCCACTAGCTGCAATTAATATAAATATGTATTTAAAGCGTTCTTTATAAATTTTTGTAAACTCTAAATTGAGATACCAACATGGGCTGCATTATTTAATACTCCTATGTTGTATCCTGCTGGAACAGCTGATCCCAAGCAGCAGGTAACACCTGCCAGAACTAATACAATGGTCCATCCTCCTGGTGCCTAAGAAAAATAAATGCCTCTCTGTTTTTAAAATGTAATTACAAAATAAAAAGTATCATGTACTCATAAATATTTAACTTCTAACATAGCTCATTCTTGAATTTAAAATAAAACTAAACAATAGCAATTCCTGTATCTCCAGTTTATTGAACATTTAAAAAAATGCAAATTACAAAACAGTGTGATCATTTCAATATTATTGGTGATCTTTACCAATTATTGTCATGTCACAGTAATAATTCATTAAAATGAAATGTAATAAAATAATGAAATTTAAGTGAAGTTATAATGAAATGTTATATAATATCATAGCATATTAAACATGGCCAAAAATATATTTATATAACATATAAAAATCTGTGAAGATGAATAATGTTGAATTATATGTAGTATGTATCATAGATTATGGTGGTGCAGTGCAGTAAATCAAGTGATATAATTTACATATATAAATTTATGATCAATATTATAAATAACACAATAAAAGATACAATATAACATAGTATTGAGTAATACAATATAACACTGTTAAGTTTGCATTTCTCTTAGAACAGGTAAAATAAGAAAAAAAAGGTATATACAAAACCAGAAAACCATACCACTGAAACAATTAAGCATCATAAGCAATAATGTATTGCACCTTGGAAGACCAATCAGTGGTATAATGGAAAAGGCTGGATGGAATGATGGATTAAAATTCAACAAAACCACACATCATTGGTACACCTGGAAACTATTTAGACAACCAATCATGCATTACTAGAACTTTTTAAAATATGGGCATAGATTTAGTCTAAGTTTTTCAGTTATATAAAGTGTGCCTATATAAAAGTATCTTTTATAAAAGATCTTTCAAGAATGCAATTAAAAATCAAATGTGGTTCCAAACTGAGATGTTACTTAAGTTATCAATATTTCACATAATAGCACTGTTATCACTTGTGAATTATTTTATATCTTGAGTCTCTTTTATCTTGCTAGATTTTACATGACAGTGTTATAAAATTAATCACTAGAATGCTTATTAAAAAACTTATGTACTTATTTGTATTTTAAATTAAATACCATAAGAGGAAAAAAAAGTATATTCAAACTTGAGATAACAGAAAGCAATATAAATCACAAGTAAATCTTTACTCTTTTGACTGATAAGACAATGATAAGTAATGTAATGTACAAATTGATTCCAACGCACGATGAGAACAAATATGTGTACTTGTGTACTTCTTGTCTATCTCTTATGTTTTCGTATCATTCTTACTTATATCATACAGAAGTACTTTATACAAGGATATTATATATGAAACTCAAGTATTCTTCTTTCTCTAATCAAATATTGTAGAAATAGTGTTATATGTTTATCATTATTTGTGAATAGTTTTGTATACTTCTATATAACAATACAAGTGTATCATTGATACATGAATCAGGAATTTCGTTTGAATGCACGTGAAACGAAAATTATTAAGCTGGACATGCTTGGTAATTTAAATTTCATTGTGTACTCACTGATCTTTCGTCTCGATTATCCGAATTAGTCTGATGATTAGATCGCTCAGCATCCGCGAGTACTGCCGCATGACTATCTGCAATTGCAATTAATCATGACACTGAAATATCTCAATATTGCGTTAAAAAAAGAAACAATTACGTATACTTTCACCGCGAACGCGCTACATCCGCTAACAAAGGAGATACGCGATCATTCTAGATATGCCTAAATACGTAAACTGAGCTCAACATATTGCTGTACAAGGATCATTATCCTACTAGAACGAAAGATTTCGCGAAAACAATATTTCGCGAGGGGAATATGTAATAAAAGTAGAACAACTGTCGAAAAGTTTCGAAAAAGTATTACCTAACGCCATGCTTTGTACAGCACATGACACTGACACGATGTCAGAACGGTAAATAACACTAGAACCGGAACGCAACTACTGGCAACGCGAATATTGGCTTCGGTTTCGACTTTATATATACATAGCATATATCACTGCATATAAAAAGAAATTTGTTTTTTCTTTTAACTACTAGCGACAACCTGTACGTATATATTTCCCGGAGTCAAAGCAACTTTATTTTGATAAAGGAAAGTTCAAAAAGTGTACGTCGAGATAGAACACACCCAGGTGTGTACGTGCTCAATTGAATCGAAACTTTTCCTTGGAAAATGTTACGTAGTTGGTGAAATACGTAACCCACGATTATTTGAACACTTTACAAAAACCTTCTATGAATGCGTTAGAATTGCTTCTAAGCGTTCTGAAATTTGATTATTGATGATTATTATATTTCAAAATATTCGAATGTTAGATTGTTCGTAGAATTCGTAACGAAAGCACTAGCGTAATATTCAACTAAATTGAAAATAATTTAACTGGCGTAATATTTAACTCAATTAAGAGATTAATAATTTAACCAGCATAATAATTCAATTTACACAACTTCACGAACTTTTTGTCTTCTTTTCAATTACAAACTTTTGTGAATTACATATATATAAATTATTTTTGTTTAACAACAATACTACTCATGCTCTTACACGAAAATCAATCAATTCATGTTCGATCGTATTCTATTTTAATCATGATTTTTTCAAAAAAGTTCTTCGTAAATTATTAACTTCTGTAAATAATGCCTAATTGATCCATAAATGTAAATCGCACGTAGGCGAACACATAATCGTCGATTCTTCGTTTACATTAGATCTAAATAGTACAAATTCACAGTGCGTGTTTTCCATTAAAAAACAAAAAAAAGGGGCGTGTGTCCTTTCGAGAAGGAAGAAATTCACTTCTCGGATGAAGATATCACTTATCTAATATAGCAGAGGTGGCGGCGTCACGATTGTAAATATTGAATCGGATGTTAGTCAACAATATTCAAACGTATATGTACGTGTGTGCATTATCTCGCGTAAAAAGTTTCAATGCCAACCGAGTGTAAGTATCAAATGCAAAAACATAACGCGTTTGAGCACGTGGCAAAAGAAAAGTAAAAAAAAAGAATACAAAATAAAATAATACGTAAAAAAGAATTTTTTTTTTTTGTTTCGTTAACTTCGTTCTAATAAATAATGGATAAAATTTCAAGACGATAACTAATGCGTAACGCTTTAGATAAGCGCACTTTCGTCATTGAATTTAACATGTACGAAGCACGTTAATTGTCATTAGTAAACCGTGGATGTTTGTGCATTTAAAGTTGCGTAAATGCAAAGTATAGAAATACGCATTGTGTGGAATATTGAAAACGTAATGTTTAGTTACAACGAAATACACTTTCGCTTTGCTAGTTTCCGTTTCTGCTAATTAGCTTTGTAAAAAGACACGAACTCTGTGTAAACATCCGCAGTTCAGTCGTATCTACGTCGACGATGCTTCCGTAGCTACTTGAACGTTAATTAATTCGAAATATTAATCAGACAATGGAACTTAAAAACAAGAATGTTCGACTATAACAAAAATAGGTATTTATTCCTGGCGATGCTCAAGCGATCTAAAATCAATCAACGTTCTTTTGTGTTTTAATTTGAGAATGTCCGACGATGACAAAAATAAATATTTATCCCTGTGGTGTTTAAGTGTTCTAAAATCAATCAACTTTTTTTTGTGTTTTTAATTCGAGAATATTTGACCATAACAAAAATTAATATTTATCCCTAGTGATGCTCAAGCGATCTAAAATCAATCAACATTTTGTGTTTTTAATTCGAGAATGTCCTACCATAACAAAAATAACTATTTATCCCTATGGTGTCTAAGTGTTCTAAAATCAATCAACGTTTTGTGTTCGAGTATTAAGTAATTCTTACATACGTACCTTTGTAGTCGAGCATGTCCCCAACTTCGGAATCACAACGCATGTATAATGATCTGCGAAAAGAGAGATCATTTTTAAAATAACGCCGTTATTTATTATACTCGAATATAGTCGATAATTGATCGTTCAAACATTGTCGCTGTGCTCGTCTCGTTCATCAGTCTAAGTTTATCTGTCAGAACTGTTCTCGTCTCTTAACGAGCGTCGCGTTGACAATCGCTCGATTATCGAAATTTATCAATCGATTTCGCCGATTCAGTATCCTCGGCAATTCAAATAATTTTTCTGATCGTCAATAGTTATTATTGAACAGTTACGTCGTAGCTTTTTCCAATTCTTCGTCCAAGACAAAGAATGGCAGTTGTCAATTCATAAAGCGGAACGTCTTTGTCTCTCTTTCATCAACAGCAACTGAATACTTCTTGAATTACTCGCTCTGCCAGACGCTTGCGCGGAGAGGTGCAAAGTTTACTGTCACGGTAATATTAAAATTTTGTTTTTGCGCGTTTACTGTCACCAATTTTTTATTTCATTTTAATTTTTATTCATCTTCAGTATCAAGTCAGAAAGAACCATTACTGACCGGAGTGCAACATCTCAAAGAAGCAGAATCTATTTTTATAGAATATATTAAAGAAACTAAAATGGAAGATACATGTGTAAAAGTAAGTTGTATCCTACAAGAATACATTGTTGCAAATTTATGATATATAAAATTTCTAGGAAAAATTTCGAATTACGTAGACTGACCATTTCGATCATTGGTAACAATTCAGGTTGACAGTAGATTTCACGTGAAGGCAGACGAGTGGAAGTAACAACTCAAATACAACTTACTAGCCTTTTTTTTCCAACAACACGACGACTCGGTCACGCTGCTTGCGAGTAACTAGTTCAAATATTGTAAATGATCTCTGAAGTCAGTGTGTCCCTACCTTTTTCCTATCTCCCCCTACCAAGTTGCACGATTCTTACTTACTTGTGTCAATTAATTCCAGCCTTGAATAATCGATTCTTTGGTAAAAACTTTGGACGAGTCTTTGAAAATTTTGCATTAATTGGCAAGTTTTAGTGACTATGATGCTATTATGGTATAATACGATACAATACAGTATTTATCCTACGATAAAAAAAAAAAAAAATGGAAAAAAAATTGACCCGACGAGCTTACAGATATATGTAATAGTCTGAGCTGGCCAGAATTTTGCTTCGACAGCATCTTTATCCCCACTACTTCTTGCAACAATCTTCGTGGAACAGTTTCGGTAATACAATATATTTCTTTCATTTTGTTTGTCCTTTCGAGTCGAGACAGTCACTTCCTTCTATGTAAATTATCAAATCCAGAAGTTCGTTATCTCGGTTTGCGGATGTGGGACGGTACTGTTTTATTCTATTTTTTTTTTAATTTTTTTTATTCATTTCACGTCGAGATAGAATATCCGTTGTAAATCGTTTCTTGCAAAACTGATTCGCGGCCAGTTAACGAGGCAATATATGAAATGAATTTTCCCGCAAAATTTTGTAAAATCTTCACACAAGGTTTGTTTACTTGCTCTTTCGCATAATTCACTTTGCTCTCATTAACATATTGTATTTATAGAATCGTGTACTGATAACACAGAGAGATTTTTATGGAAATTGCCTGTTATTTATTATGTAATACATAGTGCATGCGCGCACGGAGCAAGTTCGATGAAAATTGTCTTCCCGAGAGACGTGTTGACAATTCGTACGCGAAAAAGAAATTCCAACGCACGTCACCCGGAAGATCTTTTCCAACGGTTTTCATAACAGTTTGCCTTTGTTTTTGCACGCGGTTATTTATTATCCGTCATTCCCTGGATTTTTCTTACTTCGCTTCAAACACAAAGCCGAACTGTTAAACGCGGTTTATGTAATCGATCTCTGTACCGCGATGAATCAGGTTATTGTATGATATCTCCCGGTCCTCCATATGTAATGCCCTGTTACATCGATAATGATACATAAAAAAAATTAAGAAAAAAAAAGATACAAATTTTTGTTTCAATTGGAATACTTTCAACCATAGATGAATTTAAAGTAGTTGTCATTCGTTACAGAGACACCGTTACTATGAAGCGGAGAATAACGCGAGTCAGGAAGCGATTGAAACGCGGTACAAGAGTCGCCAAGGTTCTCCTCCTGTTTCTTTTCAGATCGTAGTACATTCTTTCTGAGGCACGTCTGTAAATGTTTGCCAGTATGTATTATTCGCTGGCCGATACGGGCGACCCAAGATTTGTCGACATCCGTGAAAGTGGAACGCAACGTCAGTGAATTGTCATCCGTGAGCCATTCCCGTGTTTATTCAACATACGCGCGTCTCAAGTACAGTCCATCCTGAGGTTTCTCCTTTCTCCCTTCAGTCCTTGGCTGAGCGCCGTCGTTAGAGGATATCTTCCACAGCCACACAGGTTTCTGAAGTCATCTAGATCCAAGGACCACAACAGAGCGCCGCCAAGATTCAGATCCCTGATGAATTCCGCCTGGAAGAGAACAAACGAAATGTTGAAATATGTTTAACTTATCTAATTTATCCCAACTAAGTTAGATAAGTAGGTCTAACGTGTCTAACTTATCCTGTGATAAATGTGACAACGTTTGTTCAGGCATTGTGTTGCATCAATGATTCACCTTTCGCATTACGCTGGACACATCTTCGTAGCTGACCCATTGATCACCTTTTGTAGCGTACGGCCCGGTCAGATTCTTTGGGCCCTTAATCGCGGACCAGCCTCTGTTTCTCACGTTATCGCATATCTGCGGAAATGAAGATGTTTACGAATGAAGAAGAATGTTTACAAAGGAAGACGTGTCTGGCTTGAACTCCAGATATAAAAACGAATTAGGTAATATTGCTGTCGACGTAAAATAGGAAAGTTTCCCGCAGATAAAGTTCCATTCGATTACAAATGGTAATTTGGATCAAACGCTTGTGTTACTTAACTTGTTTGTCATACAAATACCTCGTAATACGCAAGCATGCCCGCTGACTTGGTGAGGTCTCCCGGATGTCCCGGTCCGGAAACTTTCACACTGAAGCCCGGTGTTATTTCCTTCCGCGAGTCTTCCGACAACGTGAAGCTCTGCCCGTACGCCGGCACGCCCATTATCAATTTGTTCGACGGCACGCCTTTCTTCAACCAATGGATCATCGAGAAGTTCACGTTCATGTGATCAATCTGCTCGTCTGCATCGCGATAAAGCGGCGCTACGTGGCCGGTCCTGCCTTCCCAATAACCGTGATAGTCGTAACTCATAACGTTAATCCAATCGAGATACTTGATTAATACTGGAATATCGTAAGCTACGTCGACCACCTCTTTACTGGCCGAAACACCAGCGGAAAGTAGCAACCCTTTGGGTTTGAATGCCGCGCTCAATTCTTTTAGCAGAGCTGCGAAAGCGTCTCTGTCACTTGTTGAACCACGGCTGCAGTTAACCTATAAAATTAATTATATATAAACAATGTATGTAATTAATTTTTGCAATATATTAATGTATATATTAATACAATTTATAATGTATGTATTATATAATACAATTTATAACGTATGTATCATATAATACATAATGAATGTATTATATAGTACAATATATAATATATATATTGATATAATAATAATATAAACATATATATTATATATTGATATATTAATGTATATATACATTAATATATTAATATATATGTATATATATATTAGTATTAGTATATTATACATATAATATATATTAGTATATATATTGGTATATATATGCATATACTAATACTAATATATATAGTAATATACATAGTAATATATATATACTAATATATATATTAATATATAATATAATATATCATATATATATATACTAATATATATTAGTATTAGTATATTATATATATTATATATATATTAGTATAGTATTATATATATATTAGTATAGTATTATGTATATATTAGTATTAGTATATTAATATATATGCATTAATATATATATGCATATATATAATGTATTAATTGTATTATATTTTATATATATTATATGTATTAATTTATACAATATAGTGATATTTAAGCAATATACAAAAATTGAAAGTAACTTCAATTTTGGAAAGTAAATACGATTGGCAGTGGCAAAAGTATGTTATCATCTACGAAACAGTGAGTCACGAATGATTCACGGTAACACACTGGCAATATAACAGCATTGCATGTATTTCATTCATCTTCAAATTCTTACGTCATATCTTTAAAATAGCTTCAAATATCTTTAAATTCATTTTCATTTCTTTGGGCGTGAACTTGAAATTTTTTGACGCATCATTTTCGCGTTACCTGCGAGCATACTGGATACTCCCAGAGGAAATCGAGACCGTCAAATCCGTAATTCTGCACGTAAAGAGAAGCATGACGGGAAAATCTTCGTCGTTCCACCGAATTGTGCGCCAATTCGCTGTACTTGTTATCCTTAGATTCGTCCCAGCCACCCAAACCAAGCAGAATCTTCAGCCCACTTTTGCTTTTGATGTCTGCTATTTTATTAACGAGATCCTTCCGTCTGATGCCCCGTGGGTTTTGTATGGTCAAACGTTCTGGATCCAACTTGGCAAGACCAAAAACTATATGAGTGCACAGATCTACATCAATGTCTTCCGGTAGAAATTGTCCTATCCCTGGCCGCTTTTGCGCCCATTTCATCACGTAACAAATCATTTTCTTCTTGCTGGTTTCCTGGTCGTTGATTAATGGCGAAAGTAGTTCGTTCGACTGCAAATTAGGAAGCGATTTAAAAAAGGTTTTTTCTTTTGAGAAACCTCAAGCTTTTCGAGGGACTACTCACTTGTCGCAGGGAATCTTCGCACTTGGTATTTTCCGGCCAATCGCAACGATTCTCATTCCAATAGAGACCAGGTGGACAAGAATGTTCGGTGAGCTTGCCAAAGTTGCACAAGAAGTACTTGGAGCAGTCTTTTTTATGAGGAACGAATATACGGTTGCCGCAGTCGTCCGGCGAACCGCCTATCACTGGTGGCTCGGCTTCTATTTCGATGGTATCATCGATATCAAAATCTGGATCCTCGGTTGTAGACGCCGGTGGTAAGTACGTTGGTCTAGAGGATGTAGTCGGTTCCCAGCTTGGTCGTTCGGTAGTTGCAGACACCGTGGTAGATTCTCCAACGTCAATCGTCGTGAATTCTGCATTTAACATATTACAATAAACTTTCCTATAACACGGTTTCTATACAATACTTAATTAGCTTAAGCAGTCTCCCTTTCCCTGTTTTTCTTTCTTTTTTTTTTTTTTTTTTTTCATGCACGTATATCATAATTTCTCAATTTCAGTTGTCAGGGAATTCCCATTGATTTGTACTAATTCTGAGGGTTGACTGCGAACGGGGATCTTGCAGGATACTTGCCGCTCGTTACTGGACACAACGGGCCTTTGGGATAATTTCTGAGAACTCTGTTCATGGTTCTCAGAAGCGGGCTAGACTCGCAGCCGCATCTGTCTTTGAAATCGTCCAGGTCGAGAGCCCACACCATACCGCCGCCCAAGCCAAGGTCCCTTATTAATTCTGCTTTCAGTTTAATCTGTCTGGCATCGTCGAAGCTCACCCACTGGTCGCCCTTGTACGCATACGGACCGATACGTCGTTGTTTGTCTTGGACCACAGTCCAACCCTTCTTCAAGGTCCTCTCGCATATCTGTTGATTGTTCAAGACGACGACGTTACATTTATTATAATAATTATCAAAAGAAACAAAAGAGGAGGATATATTTGCCTCATAGTAAGACAGGAAACCTCTGGCTCTTGTTGCTTCACCGGCCTCACCGCCGCCATAAGTTGGAGCGTTTAATCCTCTTTGACTCCTTTCCGCCAAAGAGAAGGACTGACCGTACAAAGGTGCTCCCATTACAAGCTTCTTCGCCGGTGCGCCTTTCTCCATCCAATAGTGAATCGTGAAGTTCTGAGCACACGTTTTTTTTTTTTTTTTTTTTTAATAAAAATCATATTCAATTTTTTCATAGAAGTTATGGATTTCAATTTTCTGTGATAATCTCAGAATTCAGATATAAATGGATTTGTATTACATATTGTATTATAATAAATATAATAAACTATATAACTGTAATATAATAAAACAATGAAAATAATTATAATTATATAATATATAATACAGTATTATATTATATATTAATATAATGGATTTATATTCATTGGCGAAGCACTTACCACGTTAAAGGTCGGCTCCCAGTCATTAGGTAATGAATAGAGGGGCGCTACGTGGCCAGTCTTTTTGTCCCATTGACCGTGGTAATCATACGTCATTACAGATATCCAGTCCAAGTATTCTGCCAAAGTTGGTACGTCGTAGCCGGCGTCAATGACCCGCTTGCTCGGAGAAACCGCGGCGGATAGCAGGAAACCTCTTGGTCTGAACCGTTCGCTCAATTCCTTCACCAAACTGGCGAAGCCCTCTTTGTCCGAAGCTGGACCTTTCTTACAATCGACCTAAAATTTAGTGGCCAGATTTTGTTGCACATGGAAGAATCAGATGGGAGAATTGCAAGCGAATAAATGCTAGTTCATTTACCTGCCAGCATACCGGATACTCCCAGTCTAAATCCAAGCCTTCGAAGCCGTACTTCTCGATGAATTGGATCACGTTCTCGATAAATCTTAGCCTGGCCGATGGCGAGTTCACCAAACGACTGTATTTATCACCTGCTGAATCGTTCCAGCCTCCGATAGCCATTAATACCTTTATGCCCTTCGACTTTAGAGCAGCGACCCTTTCATAGAACTCTAGGAATGAATATATTGATATAAAGATACACGAGAGAAAATAGGGAAAAACCGTGCGAAGGAAATTCTCGATATTTACTGTTGTCTATATCGGCCCACGAGTCGTGTGATTTAATCGTTAGCTGCGATCCATCGAGCACTGCGAAACCGTATAGAACGTGAGTACATAAATCAGTGTCTATGTCTTCTGGTAAGAATTTCCCTCCTTCTTGACGGTACCACGCCCAATTTGTAAAGTAACAGATCATTTTGAATTTACTGTCGGGCTTGGTCTGAGATTGGTCTGATGATGTTGAAGATGCTACAGGTGTTTGAACAGTGGTGGGTGTTACAGTTGGTGCCATTGGGCCTTGATCCAAATTGTCTATTGCAATCGGTGGC